AAGAAGAAGAAGAAGAAGAAGAAGAAGAAGAAGAAGACAATAAATACATATCAATCAATAATTGAATCTAAAAATAAAAATAAACAAGCAGGAATGTAATGAATAAGATAAACTGATGAATAAAACAGAACCAGTGGCATGGAAACATGGAACAGACTGAAGAATCTCAGAGGGAAGTGGGAGGCCGGAGGGAGATTTACCAAAGAACTTATATACATACTAGAGGCCTGTTGCATGAAAAGATTCATGCAATAGGCCTTCCCTTCCCCTGGCTGCCGGCACCGGTTTTCCTCCGGGACCCAGGCCTTTGCTCCGGCCGGAGCCGCCTTCAAGCCTTCGCTGCTCTGGCCAGAGCCGCCTTCAGTCTTCGCTCAGCTGCTTCGCGCCTACGTATGCAAATTAACTGCCATCTTTGTTGGTGGTTAATTTGCATATCTCACTGATTAGCCAATGGGAGGCGTAGCAAAGGTAGGTCAATTACCATGTTTGTCTATTATTAGATAGGATGGACACAGACAATAGGGTGGTGAAGGCCTGGAGTGGGGTGGGATCTGGGTGGAGAAGGGCAATGAAGGGGAAAAAAAGGGAGGGGGAGGGGATGTCCGTAATATTCTCAACAATAATGATTAAAAGAGCAAAAACACCCATAAACAAATTGGTAGTCATGGGGATGCAATATGGCATAGGGTATAATATTATAATAACTATGCATGGTGTCAGATGGTTACTGGAAATATCAGGGTGAACACTTTGTAAAGTATATGATTGTCTAACTACTAAGCTGTACACCTAAAATTAATACAAAATAATGTTAAAGTCAAACTGTAATTAAAATAAAAAAAGAGAGAGAGGTTAATAAAATGTCTCTAAGTTTCTAGGCCATCCACACACTCCATAGATGAGTTCATCCAATGTGTTCATTCAAGGCTGGCTGTGTTAAAAAGGGACATACTCAGGGAGGAGACTAATTCCAAGAGGCTGCTTAGAGAATTATGTCAACACAGGGGTCCCTGAGAAATCTGGAGCCTCTGAACAGTGAAGACAGCAGGGAAGGCAAGGAACAGAAAGAATGGATAACATATTCTTTTTTTCCATTCATAATTTTCTAGTAAACCCTATTCTTAACATTTTTATGAACCCTTGGAAAAATGAAGTATAACACACATACAGAAAACAGATAAAACATAAGTGTAAAGTTCAAGGATTTATCATTAAATGACCACCTGGGTAAATACTAGTAAGGTCAAAGAAATGGAAATTACCAGCACCCAAAACTCCTCTTGGCTCCTTCTTTCCAAAGCCAACCAGTGTAACTTTTCACCTTTAGCCTTTCCCAGTTTGGAATGGTTATATATACAGTAACCGGGTAAGCACTCCTTGATGTCTGGGCTATTTCTCTCATGATACATTTCTGACATTCAACCATGTTGCTGTGTTTATTGTCTCCATTCTGTTTAGTTTTGTTTGTTGTTAGTACTCCATTGTAGTAATAGATGATGATTTATCCACTCTCCTGTTGATGGACATTTGGCTTGATCATTTTAGTGTGTGTCATGGTGCGCATGGACATACGTTCTTTTATGTATATTGTTAGAAATGTTCATATCCGTCTCTATCTGCTATTTAAAATTTAAGGTTAAAAAGGACTGTTGGAAGAGACCTTAAAAGAAAAGTAATCTGATTTTTATTTTGTTAATCCTCACCTGAGGATATTTCCTTCCCCCCACATTGGTTTTTAGGGAGAGTAGAAGGGAAGGAGGATAAGGGGCAGGGGAAAGGGGAAGAGGGAGAGGGAGAGGGAGAGAGAGAGAGAGAGAGAGAGAGAGAGAGAGAGACTAACACTAATGTGAGAGAGACACATTGGCTGGCTGATTTCCACTCCCGTCCTGACTGATGTGGAACACAAGCACATGCTCTTGACCAGTAATCCAAGGGCTCACGCTGTAACTAACTAACCACTTAGCCACACCAGCCAAGGAAATAATTTAATTTTGACTCCTGGAAAGCACTTGTGGCTGGGAGATTCCAAGATCTCACCTTGCCAAATCTTGACGGTGGACAAAGGTTTTAAGAGTAAGAACAGTAAGACATCAGCGTCTCTGTGCTGGAGAAAGTGCTGGACTGGAATTCAGGAGGCCTAAGATGCTGTTGTCTCATTAATAGGTAGGCCTATGATCCTGGGCACAAATCCTCTTCAAGTATCAGTAATAACTCAATGACCCTTCCTGTTCTCTCCCTCTCTTATGAATATCTTCTGTTTACAACTTCAACTTGTTTATGTCTCTGTGGGTCAGACAGACAATCGATTCATGTGTGTACACCAGATATAAGAATGCTGTGATGGAAAGGCAAGGATAACAAGATGGCAGCTCATTAGCAAAGATGCTCAATGAGTCCTCCATGAAGAGATGGCATTTGAGCAGAGCCCTGAGTGGAGGGAGCCCCATGGCTCATTGGGGAGGAGCAGTACGTGCTTCATTCCCCTGCAGTCACCTGGGGGATAGGTGTGAGGACAGAAAGAGGTGAGGTTGGCCCATGAGGAGCAAGTGGGACAGTGATAGGAAACAAGGTCTTAAAGGTGGTGGGAGGGCAGAACATGCAGGGCCATTCCAGCCACCACAGGACTTTGGATTTTATTCTACATGTGACAGGAAATAACTGCAGCTAAGGGGGCCGGGGAGTCACAGGATTTGGTTTCCGATGCTATAACATTATGATAAGTAAACGTTGTGTATTGAATGCTTACTGTGTTCTACACAGTGTGCTCAGGATTTCCATGGTTTATCACGTTGGGTTATTGAGAAGTTGCAGAAGGTTTGTAAAGCTCAATGGGATCATTGAGCCTCAGTCTCAAATGTTTGTCTTTCTCTTCTCCCAACCTCCACCTCTCTGTTTCAGGTGAGCATAGACAAGTGTGACCTTTATTGGACAGTCTAGTAAACTCTTTTTGTTTTTATTATTCTCACAAAAAGCAAAGGATAATTTGGGTTGGGAAAGATTGATAAGTCATTTTCCCTGGACTTCAGGAGCTTCTATTAGATTTTTTACTGCTCACTATAATTAATTCTTTCTCCATGTGGGAGTACTATAATAGTAAAATGCACAAAATTGTCTCCAATTCACTTTTTAATTGGCTGTTTCTTTATAATTTGTGTGAATTGGCTTAGTTTTCTTCAAGCTTGGCAAAAAAACACACAAAAATCATAAATTTTATGGCACAGATAATTACTTATTAATGTTAACAGTGCATTTTAAAATATTTACTTGATGTATTATTATGTACTTTTTGTTAGAGAATGACTTATTCATTGCATCCATTTGAGCCATTTTCAGGATTGAATGTTTAATCATATAGATGAAGACTGTTGGTTATAGGCATTTTGCTAACTGATAATCATAAGCATAACATGGGTTCATGTGTGAAGAAGAAGCTTGATGTTGTTTAGAAAACTAATGGGCACAAGAATGAATGCAAGAAGTAGAGCACATAGAGCAACAGCGCACTCCTAACACCCTATGCACCCCTACATTCATTGTAGCATTATTTATATAGCCGAGTTATGGATGTAACCCAAGTGCTCATCAATAGACCAGTGAATAAAAAAGCTGTGCTTGGTATATCCTATATAATAAAAGCCTAATATGCTAAGTGTTCGGTCGTCCAATCGGCCACTCAACCAACTAAAGCATAATATACTAATGATATGCAAAGGCCGCTCAACCGCTCGCTATGATGTGCACTGACTACCAGGGGGCAGACTCTCCGACTGGTAGGTTAGATTGCTGCTGGGGTCCAGCAGATCTGGACTGAGTGAGAGATGGGCTGGACATGCCCTGGAGCCCTCCCATGGTCCCTCCCCAGCTGGCCAACCTCCTGCGTCCCTCCTCAGCCCTGATTGTGCACTGGTGGGGTCCCTCAGCCTGGCCTGCACCCTCTCACAATC